AGGGACCCCCGAGGCGGTGCCTACCTACGACGAGCGCAGGCAGACACCGCCAAAGTGGCGCTGGATGTGGTCAGCGTTCACCTGATGGACCAGCGCCGCAAAGCGACCCTTCCACCGAGGAACAAAGGCCTCGTCCAGCCCCGGCTGGTACACACCACGGGCCTCGGCGCAGCGGGCGAGCTGGCCAAGCAGATCCACAAAGGAGGAGGCAAACTCACCGAGTGCCTCATGGGAGGCACATGAGAGAACCCCGTCCTTCGCAGCTGCCTTTGGTGATAATAGACGTGACTCCCATTGTTTCTCCTTGTCGTGCTCTGGATCGAGCGACTCTACAGCTATTTCAAAAGATGCACCTGATCTGGTCACTGTGAATGCTTGCCGACTGCAGCTGGTTCAATTGACCTCGAGATACCAACAAATTTCTTGCCCCGTCCCGACGGGCGTCTCTCAAACCCCTCTCAAAACGCTTCCCCAAAAAAACGCAGTTTTTTTTTCCCCAGCCTTGCGCGCCATCTCGCAGCCCAAAAATGGTCTCCACTCGCCGTGGAGTTTGACAAAAAGAGAACAACAAACTAAAAGAAAACAACAGCCATCATGGGCAGGTCGATCCGCTACAGGACCAAGCAGCACTCAGCAAGTTGTGATAGCGCAGCCGATCGTCACTGCTTGTGTTTGAAAACAAATTGTGCATCTGATAAGGATCTTGGTCCAGATCATACAGTTCATACCTATTCAGCAGAACACGAAAGTCGTCACTTCACCCGATACCGCGGAATCAAGGAAGGGTCTCGAGAGGAGACAGTGAGAAAACGTCGTACCATTGCAGTCCAGTACCATCTTCAGCCGCCTTAAACTGCCAGGAGGGATCGTATTCCACATAGGCTGTATTTTCGGTCGATGAGATAATTCGAAGCATGCGCCAGGAATTACTCGCTGTTGAGTCAACAAAATAGCAGTTACCCGTTCCTGTTCCATCTGTTGGTGCAGGCATAGAGAGACAGGGATGAGACGCGCAAGTTGGACGGAAAGGCAATGAACGAAATGAGGAAAGGACAAACTAGATTTGATGCAATCCTTGTCGACAGTGTTTTGTGCGGGTCCAACGGGCGGATTTGCTGCATTACACGTCTCAGATGTCTAAAAAAAGGAAAGCTGTCAAGCATAGCCAACAGAGGCAATGGGATGATGCGGAGACTACATTGGGCACACAGACCTGGTTGCCATCCTGCCAGATGTTAGAATGGTCGTTGAAATAGGTTCCAACGCTCAGATACTCAACCAAAAAGTAGGTTCTCCATCCAGCCGTTTGCTGTGGGAGGTACAACGGTCGGTTGGTAAAAGGCGCACCCGAACGTCGGCGTTACAGCGCCATGGGCATTTCCAAGTCAAGTACTGGTCTTCTTGTTTTACATTACCAAAGTGGCAGACGTTGTGGCTGATTTGAGCAAGCCCGCAAAGCTTTTGCCGTCGAGCAAAGCAGGTGCTGGGACACCGGCGAGCTCCAAAAGGGTGGGAAGCAAGTCGGTCGAAGCAATCAAGCTTGAGAGTTCCACGCCCGAGGCCAGACCAGGGCCCGCAAACAAGTACGGAATCTAGCATGGACAGCAAGTTGGTGAAACATGAATGGCAACAAAGCACGACCCGGTCCTGTGATTGATAGCAACAACATCATCAGAGTCACGACTCTGATTTACGAAATTCGTGCGACTGAAGACTCTACATGGATATCAGTTTCGTAGGGATGTTGTTTTGATGTCCCAATGCGCCATTGACCTCTATGATGAGAATTGTCAGTGCATGGTTCCGAGTTTGTGAGATTGGAAGCCCAGGACGCCAGGCCAAGGCAAGTTTGAGACACGATTGCGTACAACTTATAGCCTATGCCATGTTCATGGCCAACGATAAGGAAAGGGTTTCAGGTTAGCTGCCAGATCAAGCGGCGCAAAGGCTATTAATTGCGAGATCATCGGCTGGCTGCAGTGATTGTTACCGTGATCGCTGAGATAGACAAAGTAAGTGTTGTTGATTTGGCCGGCTTCAGCCACTCGGTCGTACACCGCTTGAACCAGCTCATCCACAGATTTCAAAGAAGACCATCGATCTCGAAAGTGCTGTAAGATAGCGAGGCATGATAGATCAGTGAGGCGGGAGTGGTATGGTGCAGGCTGTGTCCATTGACCGGGATGTGGTTTACACCTACAAGGCAAATGCTTCTTTTCTATCCCTGAATCCTTTCATTGAAAGGCAATGCTCACCTGATCCTCCCAGCATTTGACTGCAGTGGTAAGTGGTGGGTTTTGGCGGACGTGCTGGGCCGCGCCCGAGTGCGAGTAGTTGTAATTTGGAGTTGTAGGGGCCGATGAGTTGTCCCACAAGTGCTCATACCTGAGAATGCTCGCGTCCAAAGTGCGTTGTATGAGTTCTGTGAAACAGGATTGGTCGGTTCATGATGCGCGTCTCGACACAGCATGTAGTATACAAACCAGGGGGCAGGACGGGCGGGATAGTGGGGGGCATGTGGTCCTGCAGAGTCATTTTGAGTCATTCAAAGAGAGATGGTGAATGAGTAGGGAACAGGGGAAGGGCGGACGCGTGGGGGGACATGAAAATCAAAGTTAAGGTGGCACGACAAGAGGTGTTAGTGTGTGTGTATGTGTGGGCTTGCGCCATGACGCCTGCCTCATTCCTACCAATGTAAGCAAAGAATGGGCGGTCCAGTGCAGCATCCGGGGCTGGAAGAATTTGGTCAAGCCAGCTGAGATTCAAGTCAAAGTAGAATGAAGCAATGGTAACGAAAGCGCGGGCATCAGTTGTAAAGAGCGGGGATGGGCAGCTGCGCAGCTCAGTTTTGAAGAGATGAGCTGACACTTACCGGAGAGTGCGATTGCCGATTTGTGTTGTTTGGTATGGTGTGGCAAAGGGTGTATCGTGTCTGCATCAACGTTGCAACGGAGAACATTGAGTGACAGGGAAAGGTGTGGCGGGGCTAGCTTGGGTATTATCTGGATGCGCGAGCGTATGATGCTCATGGTTGGCCAGGCGAAAACACGGGAACCAACGCAATGTTTTCTACGTAGTTGGTGCCGTTGGGGAAGTAGCGTTGGTAAGTAACACCGACGTAGTTATTGTAATCCAGAGGGCTGTCAATGTAGTCGACCGTTTTGTAGCTCATGGCCAGCTGTGACAGTGTTTAGTGGGGTAAGGGAATGATTGCCTGCGGGCGGGGACTCGAGTTGACCAGTCTTACATCCAAGACATTGCTTTGATCGTTGGTGACCTGTGCCCCGGCGAGATCTGAATGATTAGAAGGCGAGGGGCGGTGGGGCAAGGGGTTGCAGATTGCAAACGAAGTACTTTGCTACTCAAGCAGGATGGAGACAGGGGCTGGGGGGTGGTTGTCCAACTAGCGCACCTTTCCAAAAACACCAACATTGTATCCAGCCTTCTTGAAAAGACCAAACATGCTGTTTTCAGGCTCCACGGCGTTGGTGGTATTGACATGCATGCAGTTGCCCGATTGAGAGGGAGGTCCAATGTTATGGTACATGCGACCAGAAAATGTTTCCGTGCGTCTGGATGAGGTGAACGTTCGAAAGACATCAGCGGCAGTGGTCAACGGCAGCACTGGGGTGAGGCCAAATTTTGTGAACAATCTGCACTCACGAGGGACAGCAGATGGGTGTCTACCGAAAACAAGTGAATGAGATCTGGATGGTGCGTTGAGTCAATGGCAATGGCCCCCGGGGGGGCGGGAGGCCAGGGCAGTTACCTGGACAATGCCGTTGGTGAGGCGAATGCCGTTGTCG